GCTCTATTTATGTTGATGGGCATTGTTCAAAAGCCTACAATCAGATCTTATTATGCAAAGAACCGGCTGCTGTACACTCCGTTCTCAACTTCTGATCCATTTGCTCCCATTGGTCACACACAGAGAGCTCATCTTATAAGGTAAGATTACAAAACCATCTTTTAAGAGGATTTCAGTGAAAAATTCATAATTATATCTCATATAGTTCAAAAGTTATGGAAAAAAACGTATTTTACAGCAAAATTTAAACGGGCATTTAAAAAATACTACCGCCGGAACAGCACAACAGCGGCATATGCTCGGTATTTAAAATTCCGCGTCAACAGGTTAAGGAATAGCATCAAAATTAGGGTGCTGATAATTGAATGTGTTGTGATACTGTTTATTGTTTATGACTTGTGCCAAGCATACCAGTTTAGTCATTTATCTTTGTGAAATACAGAATACAGCCATTACCCAACCCTGCTTCAAAATTATTTTCTTTTTATGGAATGTGCCTAAAATGTGGCAGTTTATCTTACTGAAATACAATAATTTCTAAAATTTGCTTCAAAACAGTTTTCAGCTTTTATGAAATGTGCTTACAAACATAGCAGTTTGGTAATTTATCTTCTTGAAATACAGGTAATAGAATACAGCAATCTATGGACTGTGGTATGATCTCCACCCTTTTTCATCATTCATGTATTTATTCTTTTATACACCTGCCTGTTTAGTTATTTTGGTACAGAGGTTACAAACATTTCAACCCTAAATACTGGTACAATGTAAACTGCAAACTGTTAATTTTGGGGACAATGACTGGCCTGCAAATGTTAGAATTCAGTATGTAAATATGTCAAAATAGGAATTTTAGATTGAGATTTCATTGCAGTAGTTAGTATCGCTAATATGTGTTATAGAATTGTAATTGCCAGTTACACGTAATGTCCTTTTCAGTTATCATAGTGGCTAGTATATCTGTAGAACACCAATCGAGCTAAAGTGTTTATTCATTTGTGTTAGATAATTGAATGTAATTAATGTGAGCTTTGCTGTGTGTGTTAACAGTGCTTCAGGAACAGTGTACACTGCTATTGAAACATCAACTGGGATGGAAGTGGCTATCAAACAGATGAATTTGTCACAGCAGCCAAAGAAGGAATTGATTATCAATGAAATATTAGTAATGCGAGAAAACAAGCATCCCAATGTAGTGAATTATCTAGATAGTTACCTAGTTGGGGAGGAACTTTGGGTAAGATCTTCATTGTCTTCAAATGTATTGTACACATATTCTTGCTTTAAACTCTACTATGCATGGTAATTATGGCTGCTGCTTAACAGGTTGTGATGGAATATCTACCAGGAGGATCTCTCACAGATGTTGTGACAGAAACATGTATGGATGAAGGTCAAATTGCATCTGTTTGCCGAGAAGTTCTGCAGGCTCTGGAGTTTTTGCACTGTAACCAAGTGATTCATCGAGACATCAAGTCTGATAACATCCTCCTTGGACTAGATGGTAGTGTTAAATTGAGTAAGTTCACCTTTTATTGTAAGTTTCTTTTCTAGCATATACCTAAATCTGAAATTTGATGGAATACTACATAACATTTAAGAGATGTTGGGTGTGCCAGATTTAAGTTATTTATTACTAAGGTATTGAATTATTTTAGTAGCAAGTCCTTGAATGTGTTGTATTCATATTCATGACTTAAGCTGTACTATTTTGAACAGTGAAAAATTAGAACAATGATGGTGCAGAAGAGAGAGGTAGGTAGAAAGATAGATTTTTAAAAAATTATAGATAGATAGATAGATAGATAAACAGATGTACTTATTTTGGCATGGTGATACCTAGACTCATGTACAGAACTATAAAATTATCATTGGGAGTTTCTAGTTTCTCTGTATTAATTTAATTGATTATGTATCTTCATTATTTCAAGAACCTTCAACTCAAGGTAGTGAGTATTGAGGATATAAAATAAACTGTACTGATTACAGTATTCTGATTGCCACTCTCTTCTGAGTGAATCTGAGATTAGTTTAAAAAACAGGCTGTAATTGCTTCTTACGATATGTCATACAGTTTTCAATTTATAGCAACGCACATGTTTATTGTTTGGCCATACAAAGTGATGGGAAGGGGGATGCAGTAAGAAGTCATGAACCATGCCTGCTTTAACAATGTATACACTGCTACTTGTATCTGAGCATCATAGTACAGAAGAAAATGTGTGTTACATTAAGGAGGTACCCACTCTGAATCCTGGCCAGGAACCAGTTGTTCTAACAGGCCTTTTTTGTGAAGATCATGACAGTTTCGTAAGACACGCCATGTTCACTTTCATGTCTGTTCTGATTTTTTGTTCATATCTCATACGATGCTGCATAACCTCAGCACGAAGTAATGAATTGTAACCATCATGCTGTAGGAGACCAATGAAATTCAGTTTTATTTCAGACTGAAAGTTTTCTTTAGAAATGGAAGCCTCATTTTTTGGTTTCATTCAACAGTGGAGTCTGGCAATTACAGAACAGAAGCAGAGCCAGTTTCTGCAAATATAATCCTGTAGTAAATTATTGTATTACTGTTCTGTGCAAAAAATGCACTCAGCTCATAACATTATTTTATCCCTGAACATATGCCATCCTTGGTGTGGAAATAAATCTCCATACCAGGTGGAGATGAGCAGTCAGCACACACTTTAGCTGCTTTCCTCATTAAATGAGTCACTAAATTTGTTGAATAAAAAGCTGGGTGGATCCCAAAACTCTTTAGGATGTGATGGTAGAAAACATTCCCAGTGCTCCTTCTGGGAATCATACTTTTTAGTCTGTGTTTTTACTGTCTGAGCATGTGCAGTTTTTATTTTTACTTGCAGCATTCAGTTTGTATGTATTCAGATATGTTTTCAGTTTAGATAATGGAGCCAGTGGCATATTTTTATAAAGATATTGATTATGTATTTTCTTTTCAGCTGATTTTGGTTTCTGCGCACAGATTTCACCTGAGCAGTCAAAGCGCACAACAATGGTAGGGACGCCCTATTGGATGGCACCTGAAGTTGTTACACGCAAGCAATATGGGCCTAAAGTTGATATATGGTCTCTTGGAATTATGGCTATTGAGATGATAGAAGGGGAACCTCCATATTTAAATGAAAACCCTCTTAGGGTAAGAGAGAGTACGTTTTATTCTGTGTGGTACTTTTCCCCCATAATTTTGACTGGTTGTCTCAATATATGAATGGATATCTTGATAATTTCTTGTACCTGGAATATAGTTGTTCAGTTACTTATGTGACTACTTTCAGAAATATGAACTTGTAAATAAAGTGAAAATTCATGTGTTCAATTTGTAAATTTATTTAACTATCAGTTATCTTATGTGCTGGAACTTGAATTGAAATAGTTGTTATTTTCACACATATTATGAGAAGGCCCTATTTAGAGATTATCAAGGTATTTACAAGTATTTGCTAGTATATTTCAGTACATGTCTATGAAGATGCTGATAGGGATATAAACTTTCTTCCATGCAGTGGTTACATTTCCAGTTCTGTTGCCATTTTATGTTTCAGTACATTCTAATGTGAAACATTTTGTCTGATTGTTGGAATACACACTAATATATTATATTGTTGCAGGCTCTATATCTTATCGCAACAAATGGGAAACCAGATATTAAAGAGAAAGAGAAGCTGTCTCCCATCTTCCAGGACTTCCTGGACCAGTGCCTAGAAGTGGAGGTGGACAAGCGGTCGCCTGCATCTGAACTGCTCAAAGTAAGTAATGAGGAAAATCATTTCTCATATATTTGATGGAGCAGATTATTTCTGGATGTGGAGGGGGAAGGAAACCACCTTTGTTATTGACTGCATTCAATTTTGATTTTGTTTGTTTTTACTTGTTTTAAAATTAGTTTTGTTACATACCATTATCTAACTTAATCCGCTTCAGTTTGAAACCAGTAGATACAACATTTATTATTTATACTTTATGTGTTATTTGTCACCAAATATGTTTTAGCATGTATTGGCTGTGTATAAGGTATTATTAGTTTAAATGTTATCTGTCTATTTAATTTTGTTATTTTGGTCTCTGATGGAAGTATTATTCTGTCCTATTGCTCTGATAATTTTCATTTCTTATGTTTTTGCTGGGGGGGATCTGAGTCATTCTGTATAGTAGACTATTGAATTAATGCATTTTGTTGTTTTTTAGGGTGGTGGGACCTGGTGTTTATTATTATATTTGTAGCTGTAAGTTGTCTGAAAATGTCTGTTTCTAGTTATTCTTGTCTATGGAAAATGCTTATATGTACTTACAGTATTAAAAGTTAGTGAAGTAAAGTAAAGTAAAGGAAAGCTATCCCGCTATACACCATGTAGGCACTTGAGGGGAGAGGAAATATTGCTCCTGCTCATCCTTAACCGCAGCCCTAGATAGGGGTGAGTGGTCAGCACAATGTCCCAGCTGCGCTTTACTCCTGGAAAAGGACCCCATTACCCATTAGATAGGAGTCTGGGTGGGCCCAAGAGCCAGTCTGGGCACAGAGGCTAGAGGAAAAATCCTCTACTCCTGCTGGGGATTGAAGCTCAGTTATCCAGTCTGTAGCCAGTCACTGTACTGACTAAGCTACCCTGGCTCCCACACATATAATATTATGTTGTCATTTTGATCTGTTATGCTAAACTTGACTGCTTTATGCAGATTGATAGAATTCTGCCGCGAGGGTGTCTGACATAATTCTGTTACTATTCTTTATTGTGAAAATGACATCATATAATCAGATCTCATTAGGGTCAAATTTTCTTTATTTATTGCAGTAGTTAATGTGTTACAGTTGTTCCTGCTGTTGTTATTGGTATTATGTTTCATATGTAATTTGTAGATATGTTTATGATCTGTCTCCATACCAAATGTCACATGTCTTGATCCAGTGGTTCATTAGTTATCACTATCAAACTGTGTATTAAAGAATTTTTACATAGCTACCATATAATTGTTTTACATTTTTCAAAAATAAAACTAAAAGGTGCATATTTTTGAAGATGTAATATCGTACCTAAATTAATTGGTGCTAGTGTCATTATCATGTCACAGATTTGTGCATTGACAATTTTTATCAATGACTGTTGGCAATTAAAAAGTCCAAGTTACGGTGACCTCCATTGCCATAATGTTCATGCCAGGTTTTGTGAAAATTGGTCAGCTGGTTTAAAAGTTGAAAGGGGTGGCACATAAACACATACACAGACAGCTTAGTGATCATATAAGCTTATAATCTTCCTTTAAGAAAGGTAAGGAGAGTCACATCTGTTCTAATATTGGAAATGCATTGTAAGTTACCTTTACTAAACTGTTATGCTACAGTTCCTAAATAACATTTTACTTCTAGAGTCTTGTAAATTATTCCTTGATTTTTTGCATAACATATGTGATTTACCACATCATTTCCTGATGTAGAACTGTCCAGGCTTAGATGTGTAGTCAGAATTTTGCGCCTTTTATGTATTTTCCTGAAAGTGGTTTCTATTGTGAGAATTTAGTTTCCCATATCATTTTATTCACAGTTGTTCAAACATTAAACACAGCTTGTTTTGTGCAGCATCCCTTCCTGAAGCTGGCTCGTCCCTTGGCAAGCCTTACGCCTCTGATCATGGCAGCAAAGGAAGCTGCAAAAAGTCACTAGTTGTCAGCACAGTGTCAGTGTATGCAACAGTTGCATCAGTATCTTGGTGACATGTCACAGTGTCGGATAGCAAGAGACTGAATGTCGTGTGAGGGGTGGGTGACAGCAGCACAAAACAGACAATAACTATCAGTTAAGTTTCAGGGATGGATGAGATGTTAGAACCCGTGGATGGTGTGAATTTTAAAACAAAGGAATACAGGTAATGGAAGTTTAGTGTTGGTTGGTATATTTAATTTAAACCATCATGGAAAGTGAAAAGATTGCAGTCTTGAGTTTTTCTTTTTGAAAAATAAGAAAAAATTGTTTTATTTTTGTAAAACTTTGGGGTTTTCACATAATGTATTGTTTGTTTAAATACTACTGATGTCTACCTTTTAACCTCTCAGCATTGGAGAATTAATATAAATATCCCGAAGACAGAGGAAATGGGGCTTTAAATTCACAAAGTATACATCTTATACTGAAATGACTGTACCTGTTCATTCAGATTACATAAAGAATTTCTGTAATACTTTTAGGAATATGAGGGTAGTGATTTACAATATATCCCCGACACTCCCAGTTGAAATTTTATGAATCCTTCATAATGGTTTATTTTTATTACTTTATCTTCTACAAATTCTTTATTGGAAAATTTAGGATTCTTCACTGTGATTAAGTTGTCCTGACCGTTATAACTTGACATTCTTCCATTTGAAATCTGTCATTACCTCTCTACATCACATCATCATCATCATTATTGAAAATATGTCAGTTAATGCATATTTTTCCACAAAATGTTTACTGTCACTGTCTGAATTTGCTTCCAGTTATTTTGAAGGTACAGCTTACCCATTTATACTACTAATGGATGCTGTGTATCTACTTGGTAACAAACTGCATAATTATTTAACACTAAAGAAAGCCTTGGTTTCAGAAAATGAAAGCAGTCATTCACAGTAAATATGAATAAACAATAATCTAACCATCCAGGCCTGTGACATAATAATTTTTAAGCTGTTAGAGATACGCCCAGAACAGAATATGTAGAGCTGTAAAATTCTTCCTCATCTCTGTTTGTGTATTGACCGTGTACGAATGTGACAAGGATCAGTCATAGTCCATTCAGCTTCAAAAATCTCTCATAGAAACTAACATCTATTGGTACTACAGCACTTGGCAGCAGTATAGAGAACTTAATCAGCAAGTGCTTGTGTTGACATGGGCATTTTGAGTTTGTGTGATGGCAACATGGCATGGTTCTGCCATACTGAGGGTTGTGGATGGTGCTGAGAGGTTAAGTAATAAATCATTTTACTTTCTTTGAAATTGAAGTCATTGGTTTACACTCAGGATTTAATTTTTTTTAAATTGTCATGTCAAATTCTTGGTAGTGCTGTTTCATTCCATTTTGGAAGCTAGATATACAAGAGCATTTAAAGTTACATATGAGCATAGGCATCATAAAATGAATGTCAGCCACATGTTTTGAGGATGGTGGCAATGTGTACTGACCAGTGGAGAGTTACTGGTATGCAGAGAATATCTAGTGTTTATTTTAAAAGTGTAGCCATGGAGATGTGGACACACCTTTAAGAAAAACACATAATAATTACCCTTTTACAAAATAACTGGAAGATGGCTGTCTTCTGGGTTGTTGCTCCATGTAGTCTGGTAGAAGTTTACCATTTTTTGAGAAGTCCTTATTGCCTTCACTCATTGCCTTGATGATGGAGGCAGCAAGAACCTCTGAAATGTTGATAAACCTCTACCAGACTACATGGAGAAACAACCCAGAAGACAGCCATCTTTTTACTCACCACAGTGAGAACCTCAAATCCTACTTGAAAGGTAACTGTTTGTGAGGCCTCTTTGCTGCTGTCCTGAACCAGGCTGTTTGTGGCAGTGGAATGTGCTACATGCTGTGGCAGTCATACTTTTTGTTAACTGCAGTCTAGGATTGGGCAAAAAGCCAAGTTATAAGTCGTAAACTGGTGATTGGTGTGGATAGAAGTTGGAGCCAGTTACATATATCAGTCCTGGGATCGGGAAACTGGAAGACGATGCCAGAATGGAGGTTTTGTTTACATGTGATGTTTCCACAAGTTATCAGTTGTAGCCACATGTACAGTTTTCCTTCAGTGAACTAAAGTAAAAAATTGTTAAAGATTTCAAGTTATTTTACATTTACTTTAGAAAATGATCTTCAGAAACCTGTGTCATGAAAGAACAATAGCAGTATTTTTTCTGCTCATATTTTGAAGACCTACAAAAAAGTAATTTGATGACTTTAAATGATAAAAGGACTTTCTTTGTGGAATGGAAAACTGTACCAATGACTTATTAGTAACTGGACCTGTATGGAAATAATCCTAGATGTAGTCTGGTCCTTGTATTTGTTGGTTTATTGTTACTTTAAGACTCCTGACAGAAAAATAGTTCTGTGGCTTTTTACAAGTACAGTAGTAGCTTTGCAACTTTGAAAAATGTGAGGGATCTTTTTATGATTATTTCCATACAGGATTAGTGACAGTTTCTTTATATTCTTGGGTTTTGTGTAACTTAGAATTGGACAATCAGCTCCAGTAAATCAACAGGCCGAGTATGTCTAGGAAGAATTTGAGAATAAACAGTTTAAAAGTATTTATTACATTATTTCAAATAGAGATATGGAAGTTGTTAATTATATTAATTTTGGACTTTTTATTTGATATATTTTGCATTTTTATATATATTTATTGTAGCATTTCTAATGATTTTCTACAGTGTTGATTGTAATTTTAACATTTTTAAAAATCTCTTTTAACCTGTTTTAAACTATAGTAATGTGAGATGTGTTTAAAAATCAGGAAATCCATTATAGGTATGGTTGGAACAATGTGTGGTATCCTGTAGTCTTTCTTTGTATATTCTTACATTTTAAATCTTACTCAGAGATATCTCTTACAATGGTGGCTGTTGTTTCTGACACATTGCGGACCCAAAAATGTGATGCATCATATGCCACAGAAAGCAAATTTCTGTATCTCCATTTTGTTATTGTTATAGAAAATCATGAATTTTGGAAATGATTTTTATAGTCGGCGTAGTAGTTTTTGGCCGGTGGAGAAGCTAGCGGAGCTGGCAGATGGGCCTACTCTGTGTACCTGAGGTGGCATGGTAAGTGTATTTCTTTTGTTTGGGCGTTCAGTCCGATAAGCTCCTCGGTGCAGCAGTCGGCATTATACTATCGCACAAATGACTCGCTCCTAGCCTTCCCCTTGAAAATTCCACCAGCCAAAAACTACTGCGCTGACTATACTGTCCAAAGAATTGCCACTTTATGTAACCCTCCCAATGGTTCTATTTTCATTTCAGTATATATATATATAAGTCCAAGTTGAAGTTACACAAAATGTATGTCTGTCCATATCATGATGGAAAGTTGGAAGGTTAGTGCAATAATTATTACGTACGAAATATGGAGTTCTCTTCATTGGGATGCCCAATGTGGTAATTAGATGTATGACTGCACTTATGCTAAGTAATCTGGATGGTTTTTAATTTCTCACAATAGCAGACTTGGGGCCATCTGTAATTCATCAATGCTGTAAGCACTAATGACTTTCTCATACAAAAGTATTCTTTTGTGAATCAGACTGAATATGCCTTGGTAAGGGAACACACACCAGAAATTAAAAGCATTGTTAAATTTGTCAGTTGTGGTCTTCTGGGTTTTGGATTTCTGTAGTCTTGTAGGTGTTTACAAGTGTTTGGAGAAATGTTTTACCTTGTGAGGCATTCACATAGGAGGAAGAGGATGGCTAATGGCAATTAGTAGATAAGAAAATGTGAATGGAAATTTCCTGAAAAGAGTCTCATAAGGAAAGCCATGAAAAGGAGCATGTTTTAAGGAGAATCCTATAAGAAATAGTGGGTCAAGGGAAGCCAAGTCATAGTGACTGATGAAATAGGAAAAAGATGTGAGAGTGGGCATTGGGAATGAGGATAGAGAGAAGGGTGACCAAGAGGCCTGAAAAGGGAAGTTTTCATGGATGACTGTATAGGGAACATGTGTCATAGAAGGTGTAACTGGGCAGAGGAGGGCTAATAGGAATTGTGCTCCATATTCTTTTTGAAAGACTGCTTTTAGTTTCTTCATTGTATGTTTGGATGCAACCCAATCTGTATCATGCCCTTGATGATCTGATCTAGGCTTATACTGTGTCCCAAAGTTTGTTTCTCTCTGCTTGATGGTGTGACTGACCTGACTGTCTTAGGTAGTTGGAGAGCCCGTAGACTCTGCCAGTTGCTGTAGCCTATGTAATGGAAGTTGTTCTGGAGAAATACCAATTCTTGGTGGACATTGTCTAGGTTGCAGATGGGTTCAGCCCTATGTACCAAGGTGGAAAGCACAGTTCACTTGTTTGCCACATGTTGAGGCCTGGCATTTTGATAGGACCTTTAGAAGATACTCCTTTTGAGGGCTTTCCATAGGAGATGCTTTCCTCAGAGCCTGTTACTCAACTCCTTTTTACCTTTTCTCCTGTCTTCCCCATTTCCATCGACTATCTATTATGTAAATGACATCCCTGTCTTGATTTGCATTTGCTCTGCTGGGTGAAATGTTGGTAACCACTTACATGACTAAATGACATCACAGCCCAGTCAACTGACATCTTTACTGCTGTGAGAAATTCAGATCTCACATTATTCTTTATCATTAGTTCTAGCCATTTAATTTGAATTTGTAACTATATGTAATCAAAAATTGATAGTGAAATCCATAGATGTGAATATTTTCTTGCGGTTTGCTTGTTATTAAGTGATTATAAATTTTAATATTGGGACTTAAAACTGAAAAGTTTTCAGTTCATCATCTGTATCAATTGGGCCCACAGTATTTATGAAATTTCCTACAAACCTTCTTCATCTAGCCGTGAATAACAGCCGGTGAATTTTATTGTGGTGATATAAATCCCACAGATTACACTTAGCATGACCTACATTACTTTATGGCTGATCATAGGTCAGTTGATTTATAAACCTTAATAAAATATTACATTCCAATTGGGCATCTTAATGATATGAATGTACCATCTTTCCATCATTCTCATTCCCTCCATTCTTGTATGTATATCACCATTGTTTTGGTCTTGTAAGGTATAGATATTTTGCCATGAATTGTAATATTTTGTTACAAGTGTCATGATGGAATTGGTTTGTGTTTGTTGCCTTTGATTTTGAGCTCCAAGGTTGGCATACTGTGTGGTTTCCAGAATGATAGTTTTGGTAACTGTCAGACTCTTAGTTTTGTGCCTCAAAATATCTGTGCTAGCATGAACTAATTAATAAGAAGGAGTTTCTATATAGTAAATTAAATAAGTAAAATAAAACAGCTAATAATTATTCAACAATACATTTCACCATAGAGTGGTCGAATTGGGTATTAATGCTCATTTCTCTATTTTCACCGCTTCAGTATTTACTTTGAATTCACCTTGAATTGGTGAATGTCAAGCAATTGACGATGATGAATGAAAGAATGAATGATCAGTCACTCATATGTATAACCAGTGTAAGCAAATACAGAACAGTTTGTGCAATGATTAATAGTGTAAAATGGCAAGCCTTTCTTTTTAGATATCTATGGAAGCACTTAGAAAACTGTGGTAAGGTCTCTTTGCATTTAACATGACTTAGTTAAGTATTTCTAGAGCTTCAGTAAGAGCAAAAAGGTTAATTACTTCATAACAATGTGCAGCTCTAGAATTCACAATCCGACCTAATGAAGGAACAAGGTTAGTTTTTGCATGGTAGCATTCATATTTAGGTGCATTCTCAACCCTATGGAGTGCCTGTTAAAATTGCTCCCTATCTTTTTTGCTTGTCAGTGTGTCTGTCCATACATGAAACAACTCAAAAATAGATAAACCAATTTTGATTAAATGATATTGGAGAATTTTATAAAAATTATGTAGCCATTTCAATTTTAATTTAGATCTGACAGTTTTAATGACTACTTTACATAAGAACACATATACTTTTTTGTTTATTTTATCATATAGGGCAATATTTTCGTCAGTATCGCAGCATATTATTTTACCATAAGTATTATAGCAGCCCATTGTTATAGTGTTAGAATTTTCATGCTTTTCTTCTCTTGAATTGATAGGTTAAATTATTCAGATTTTAAAAAATATCACTCTCTTTTGTACCCCATGATTTAAGTGCCACTGGTTTACAGCTCTTGTAACACTATTAAATCAGAAATACATTTCTCAAAACCCTGTACTTTCATCTGAGAGAAAAATAGGACTTTGGAAACTGCTGGGAGGGGCATTGGTACTATGGTGTGGAGGTCAAAGGTCATTGACCCTAGACAACTTGGCCATCACTGGTGCTATTTATAAATGTAAAAGTTCAGGTTTTTCAAGTGTGTGAGAACTGTTACTCTTTTCTTACAATTTCTAATTTTTTCATTAATTTGCCACTTATAATTTTATAACACTGAAGGATTTTAGGTTTTTTTAATTAGCACTGATTTTCTGGACTTTTTGAACTTACGCTGGATGAAATCGTAGCCCACTTCGACCATGTGTGTTCCACATTGAATGACTTCAGAATACTAGAAATAAACGAAGGGATGGATGTGTACATTATAAAAACTATGAATTATTTCATTAAAGAAAGAGACCATAAAAAGAAAGTGTACATATGCAACAGTATTTTATTGTTTTATTTTTATTCAGTGCCTGACCACAGTTCTGAAGGCCCTGGATGATGTTATATTTGTGCAAATGAATGAATGAATGGTGCTTTACAGCAGTAGGTATATGAGTGGGAATGAGTAGACAGCTCGAACAGTAATACACAGTTGAGGTCCATAAAGAACTGTATGCTAATCTTTTCTTGGATTCTGAAAGAGGGTATCTGAATACTGCTGTATGTCTTACAAGAAGGTGTTATCTAAAGTTGCATTTCAGGGAATATTTGTATTTTAACCAAAGTACATTTTTGTGTGTAACTGACATTACAACTTTCACAGAACTCCAGAGGTCTTTAATTGTAGCTGAAATTAGATTTCCCCTTGTTTTACCTGTGTTTATTTACTTGTTTCATCTTCCTCAGGGCAGTCTTTAATGAGGCATACTGCTGTTGTCATGTAAGTCAAAAGTCATAGCCTCTGACTGCAGTTCAGATTTTTCCAAATTTTAATGCTTACTACTTTATGGGTCATTCTGTAAGTTATTGATTATTAAGTAAGTTCTGTCTGAAAACTTTTTAGAACTGATATTATCCTTGCCACATCCCCATATTGTCTATATCATAAGCCATTTCTTAAAAAATAAAATGTTTCTTCTTTAGCTTCTTTCTCTTGGTGAGTACACATCTTCCAAATACCTACTTTCCTAGAGATTTCCTCACCAGAAACCAGTGTCTGTTTTTTGTGTCACCAATCTTTGCCCATTCCTTCATATTCTCCATGTTTCATCTGATGTGATACCTTTAGAATTATAAATCACAATGTTCTGATAATCCTTTCCTTTATGCGACACACATGTAGGTAGCAGTAACAGTACATTGTTAACAGAACATCTTGCAGTAATTTCATAAAACAGCAGATGACCCTTTCATGATTGCTTTAGAATGCTTGGGCCAGATGTACAGCTCTCTGTGATATTTTTTTTTTCTGATAGAATAAGTTTGAATGTTACAGTTATAATATACAAACTGTATTACAGTTAGTGAGTATATTGTTAATGCATATGTAGTTTTGATTGGGATAGAAGCTTCCATGACAATTATAAAAGAATAACATACTGTCTCCATCATTGCAGCACGTAACATACATTTTTATTGCAAATCAATGTAGAAAGTGTTTATACTATAATTATCTTGACTGTGTGGAATGAATAATTATGTAACGTGAATCTCAAGCTATGCAACTTCAGACAATATTGTAATTTATAAGACCCTTTGTTGAAGTATTTTTTCTGTAGGGTTCAGCATAACCTCAGGTATGAAAAGAGTACTAGAGGTGCTGTATTCCTGACCTCAAGACTTGTTTTTTTATTATTATTTGAAATATGAGCAAGCTGTTTCCATTCAAGTAGTAATTTTGAACCACCTTTGAACTGTTTAGTGGAAATTAGGTAGATACATTATGTAGCTCTCTGTACATAGCAACTGTAGCTGTGTTTTTTGTTTTGTTTTTTAGATTCAAGCCTACGTCCTCAGTTTATTCATTCACATTTCTCTTTTTGTCTTCAAATGAAAACCAGTTTTTTTCATCTTGGTGCTTTTGAAAGGTCTATATGGTCTCCCTGCATGACAATGTAATATAAAATCATAATTTTTGTCTTTGCACTTAGATTTTGTCCATATTCTCTGAAAATCATTCATTGTTTTCTGTATCAGCTTCTCAGAAATTAAACATAAATTATTCTTATGGAAAAAACGTTATGTTGCACTGTTTTTGTAGAACAGGAAAAATATGTAAATGTTTGAAAACATACAAGTACTCAATTGATGCACAGTACTGTGAAGCTAGTCTAAGAGGGATGGTAAGATGCATGGAAGTTTCTGGTTGCTTTACATCTGAAGAGACACAATTTGAATGTTTCTCAGCAGTGAAATATTATAGTTCAATTTATGATTTAATCAGAACAGTAATATTACTTATCTTAAAGCACAATCATCACAAACATCCAAACATCAGTAGTAGTTCTGTTATTATTTTAGCATTCACATACGTTATGTGATGAGGGTCATGTGTTACTGTATAACCCTGGCAGATGTGTTATTCCTGGCTGCATTCCTCAATGAAAGCTGTGGAATACTACACAGTTAAGACATTTTGAAAGGAAATAGTTTGTTCATGTACTGAAAGGATGTAGTTGCATTTATTATAATGGAATCTACTAAATCATGCTGCATGAGCTGTCATTCTCCCACAGAAAGATAGCCTAAATATACTGTGTAAGTATAAGGCTTGTCTTATTTAATTAAACAGAATGTGTGAATATGTAATACTGTTATGTATGAAGTGAGTGTATGTACATGAGTAAGTGAAAATAATGTACTAATTTGTGAACTGTGTCCCATAATTTTTTGTAAGCACATTGGATAAGTAAAGGAAGGAATGCAGATATATTATGATTAATTATAAAAATTGAAGTACTATAACTTTGTGGTCTGTTTGGTAATTGCAAATATGTAGACACTGTGTACATCTCTTGAGGAGCATTTTAAAATTTTTGTAAAGTATTTACAACTCACACAACAGTGTTACATTAATTTAAACAGGTGGAGATACATACAATTTACAGCCTCAGAAGGAGGTGCTTGGGGGAGAGAAGGTATAGCTCCTATTAATTGTCAACCTCAGTACTAGATGGTGGTGAGTGGTCAGGGTCACACCCAAGCCAATTTACTGCTGGGGAAAGGACCCCAATTCCTATTGAATAGGAGTCTGGTTCGGCCTCAGAGCTGGTCTGGATGCAGAGGCTAGAAGAAAAATCTTTTTAGAAGATTTTGAATTTTTTTTATTATTTTCAAAGGCCTCCTGAAGAGATGCATGGCAGTCTCGGTGAATGCCACATCCTGTCTCTGCTGATCTCGGCCTCTAGCTGACCCAGTTGCTGCCTGCCTCGTCTGTACCAACCGTCCTCTGCAGGACTCTGGTCTCTGCACGTCCATGTCTGCCTCACGTATTGTCTGCGGCACCTGGGCTTCTCAGAGACGGCAGGTCAGAGCCGTGTCTATCAGAGACCGGTCCATGTAGAGCCTGAGAGAGGTACAGACCGCATTCGTAAGAGACA